ACAGACAGGGTCGTCCCAATATGCGTTTTTGCAATTTGCATATAGGCAAAAACGCATAAAAAATCGGCCAGGATGGTAGTTTTGCGGTGCTTTAGGTTGTGTGAAATCTCAATTTCTAACATAAATGATTACCGCGAAAAGGAGTCGTCGACGATTTTGCACCTTCAAGTTTGCCGTGTTTGCACGCGAGGCATAGGTAGTTGTGAGAGGCATCACACTGTTAGTGCCGCATAAGGCATTCAAGCATTTTTGTAAAATTTGCGCTTTCTTATTTATCTTATTAGCAAAAAAAAGAGTGACTAAAGTGCTGCAGTTTGCACATTTAACGCGTCCGTGCGCAAGAAATGTGCAAAATGAAACCTAATTTTAAGCATACAAGTTCACATTTGGATAGTCAACATTCCCATAAAACTACCTCTTTCTGCTCAGACTGGTTACATAGTTTAAGTGGGTTTAAAATCGGTGCACGCCTAGGTACGCGTTAAGAACAAGTAAATTTGCAAAACTGAAAATTTACTTGTTCTTAGCGCGAGGCCGATACGTATCGCAAAGCTGATTTTAAAGTCTTTAGCTCGCACTTGGCTAGCGAATTGTTTTCGTTTAATTTTAGCTTCGTAGCTTGGCTGGTTCCGTAAATTGCTTCTTCTTTGCAAATACATTTTGACGTGCTTGTATGCATGATATAGGCGTACGCGAAAGCTAATTTTACAGACGAGCAGCAGATGTTTGCACAAATCTGAGCATTGTTCTCAGCACAAAATAAGAACACGATTCCTGACCTGGCGTTTTGCCAGCGATGTCTCGATTTCAACTTTGATGTGTCCACACGTGTGACGTAGGTGTGCGTAATAAGTAGATTTGAAATATACAGTTCACACAAAGGCCAAGAATATCCAAGTGAAGTTCCAGATTCCTATCCTACCTGATCCCGAAATCGTTTTTCCGCAAAAAAATTACTAACACGTTTTTTTAGGCTCGATACGTGAAGCCCAGTCGTAACTGAACATCAGAAAAAAACTTTAGTTTGAATTAGGAACACCGCCCTCAATTTTGGCTTCGTGGTTTCTCTGGTTTCCGAAATTCTTGACATATATACATACACAAGCATACACACACTGAAGAGCACTTGTCAGTATACGTTTTTACACTGCTTAAATGTGGGAGAACTTATAATTCATAAATATCAGACTCTCATAAATCATTATAATAATCGGATAGGTTGAGCATCTAGAACAAGAACCGCAATCGGAGCCCAGCTGTTTCCTGATTTCACTGTAAGCGAGCACTGTCGTGTCACTTGAATGTTAATTGCGGTTTTGAATAAGTTATGCTAGAGATTTTTGCTGAATTCGAGTCTTGGAAGGCGGTGGCCGTAGCCTTCGTGCAAAAAAGACTAACTGTGCAAAGCATGGATATCAGCGTATCTGCAGCAAGAGTGCTGCTGGCTGACCAGAGCGAATTTTTCTGCGCAAGGGCTATGCGCTTGTACCAGGACAAGTGTAAAACATGCTGTGGCTTCTAGCCACCAACATCACGGGAAGAGCTGTTGCGGTGCACATACTAGCAATCGCCGTTGCTCCTTGTATGTCAGTCCAGGGAGGCCTTCCTTATTCATCCGTTAAGAAAAAATGTGACAACGAAAGTGTTCGAAGCGTTAGCGCTGACCAGGATGGATGAAAGGAACAAAGAACAGGACGTTTGGAATCCCTTGGATGAGCATGTAACATTCTGTGAGTGAGCGTCCTGCTGCATGGACAGTCGTTCTACCTGCAAAAAGTGTAACATCCCGTTTTATGGCTCGCTCCGATAGCTTTGTTGGAGAACTGTGGGCGTATCACTCAAGTTCAGTTCACAGAAAACGATCACTGACAGTGTGTTCCGAAGAGATGCTGTATACAGGCCAGGAGTTTCTGGTGTATCTGTACTCGCTGAATGTCCGCATCTTAGCACTCCAATAGTTTTGTTGATAATCTGATACCAGTAGATATCGAAGAACAGAAAACTACCGCTTCCTAATTTCCGACAGGGTTTATTTCCCATTAAGTGTAAGTAGCACCTCTGGCGATCCAGTTTTTTGCATTTCCAATTATTTTTGCACTTCCTTTTACCATATTTCGCCACTGCACCTAAAATATGCTTGTCGGATTGATTTATCGTAATTTCCCATTCACCATCTGGTATTCTTGATGCTTCCTGAGCGCAGAAAGCTTGAAGTGCTCCGCCAATCTCTCTCCTCATCCTCTCCCTCTCTGTAGCACTTTCCATGCGCATCCCTTTGCTGCGTTATGTTGTAATGTCGCACAAATTAAAATCGTCTACCGCCGTTATCAAACAGTGCCAGAAATAAAACAGTAGCCTTCCAGTGGAGTGAGATCATCGGCTCATTTGCACATTCCCACAATCCTTCCCCCGCCGATTCCAGAATTTAGCTTTCACATCTTAATTTATGTAATGCTTTGAGTTTGCCAACAGCCAGTCCCGTCATGTGAAGCTTATCTTTTGCACAGTTATGTTGGTGGTGTCCGTATTTCAAACCGAGGTACACAATCAGAAACTGGATTACCCGAGCAAAGACCACCAGCCCGCCGTATAGAGAATCTAGCTGCAGCTAATCGCGTACTCGGAGAGACCACTGCAGAATAACCTTCAGTGGCTTGTACTCATCACTCAAGAAACAACAGACATTTTCGATCCATTTACCTCGCACTGCGCAAATGATTAAGACGTAAGAAGGTCGAGTAAGAAAACTGCTGCAGCTGTCTTGACTTGTAAAGTCAGCGTAAATACGGCCTGGGGGCCCTTCGTTTCAGTTTTCACTGCCAGAATTTTTGCGCTAGCAAAATCGCAACTCTCATTCTTCTACACTTAACCATATATATTTGTGGCTAATGCAGTTGAATTAACCACATATATATACGTATATATATACACATGTATACATATATATATAGGAACACATAAAAACGCACGCAAAAACGGACACACGCAGGCACATAGATACACAAGCGAACACACATAACAAACACACATTAATACACAAACATGCACACATATAAACACACTCCAACATGTTGCGTACGATCCCGAAAAAAATATGCAAGTTTCTTTGGCGGGAGCGACTTCGCGAACCAGGCAGGATGCAAAGCTGAAACTTTGCAGGGATATCCTCAGCGCATGTGCGAGCTAGATTTCAAATTCAGCTATCGCGCGCGCTTGCACAGCACGCACGATCACGTCAAAGTTTGCACTTGGCACTGCACTAACTCGAGAACTTGCCTGAAAACAGTGGCTGAAATTCTGTCATCATGTTTGTCGCCCATTTTGGAAATCGTATACCGAAATTGGGTTTCGACTTGTGCTTGCGCTACGGCTCAGGGTATTTGTAGCGAAGTGACTATTTCGCTTACCGGATAAAATACGAGGCTGAAACTTCGCTGGGATATTCTACTTTCAAGTGCGGTCTTAATTCTTCTTCGAGGTTAAATTCCCTGCAGGTGGGCGTGGGAAATACTCAACTTTACCGAAAAACTAGAAACGATTGCGTTTTGCCGCAAACGACTGCCTTCATTCAAATATGTAAATGAAAATTCAGTTCATTTGCATACTTGGATTTTTTGACGAACGACCGCCGCAAAAACATTTCCACTTTTTGGTAGACTAGGAATTTGCATTCAAAAAATTTGCA